TGCCTTCTTCAAGAGAGAGAACCAGTCTGTCCCTAGTGAATAAAAAAATGTAAACAGTGACCTCTATGTAGGTAATGGTAAAATAATCACCCTGGAAACAACATTACCCTCATCTCCTCCATACAATTCTCATAAACCTAAATGGGAGTTTTGCTCAAAAATCAAGAGTGAAATATAACCGACATCTGGCAAAAGCCCAATTATGAAAACCCCACCCACACTCAGATCTGCACAAGGGCTGCCAAGGCAAGCAAAGCAAATTATACTACTCTTCAATAATGTGTGTTCAGTCACTTAATCTTTCAAGTACACACTTGCAAAAACACTAATTTAAATGGGATTAAAAAGGGTAAAGTTTGACCACTAATGACAAACATGCCTTTTGCACATTACCAGCTTTCTATAATGAAAGTAAATCAACAAATCAACTGCAATATGTTACAAATTAATATTTCATATTTCAAAAGATTATGGATCCAATTCTGCAATCCTGACTTCGAAAGTACCAGTGATGGCACCATGATTACTTGTATATACATAAATAAATTCTGTTCATGCTGAAGTTACATGATTGAGCTACTTAAGAGTTAGTTTTTTCAACACATAATAATAAAAAGGCAGTCATCTTTATGTTATTAAACCTGAGACCTAATCATTAACCCTAATCCATTATGCTAGATATTACATGGATACAGAACAAAAAAGATATTCCCTATTCCAAAGTTTCCTGTTTGTAAAGCAAGCATGGAAATCAGGAAGAAAGCACCTTTTTAATTGGAAGATTATTAATGTACAGTGAAAGTGATTATTCAGCAGCAGTTGGTTTATTAATGAAGTAATTCATGTTTATAGAGTTGGAAGGAAACACCTTGAGAATTAAATTTGACCTCCTGTGTAACACACACCATGGAACCTTGATGAATTAATTACTGTTTCTATTCCAACAGGAATTGTTGAACTAGAGCAACTCTTTTAGAAAAAAAACATAAAATGTTTATTTAAATGTTTTCAGTGATATTAAATCCATCACAAGATCTCATCAATTGTACCAATAGTTAATTGCTCTCACCTTAGGTGCCAACTACATGGGGGCCCAAGGACCCTGGTCCCTCTCAGGAAGAGAGGAGGGTGACCACCCATTCCTAACTGGGTGGGACCAGTACAGTCCTGAAATAGGAACATCAAGTCCCGGTCCTGGGCTGCATGACTCTGGGACAGCATTTGTCCTGGATTCCTAGTATGGTGCAGGGATCCAGGTTTTCCATTCACTGCAGGGAACAGCAGGTTTTCCCTTGCAGGCTGGCAGATTTCCAGCCTTCAAGGGGCTGCAGGAAGCAGGACACAGGGGGCACCACATGCATGTGCATGTGCGCACATGCACATGGCCAGGAATACAGCCTCAGGCAGCAGTGAAGAGCAGCTCCCCCAGCTGCCTGCAGGTAAGTCTATGGAGGGGGAAGCAGATTGAGGCCACCATGGTGAAGGAGAGGGGCAGAAGCTTGGCCTGGGCAATGCATGGGGCCCAGGGCCAGGGCAGGGGCCAGGACAGAGCCAAGGTTGGCTCATCCAGGAGGCAGGGAGGCTCCCTGCCACTGTGCAAACTCCCAGGGAGGGGGGGAATGGGGAGGCACATGCCCCCCACATTTGTTCATGGGGCAGGGGCCGATCCGAGCTTGAGGCTCCCCACCCTGCTGCCCTCCCCCCAGGAGCTCCATGCCAGCCACACCTCCATAGCAAGGCGCCCCCCTGCCCACCAAGCAGCAGTGGGGGAGGTGGCATGGAGTTGTACCCCCTACTGTTGTCCAGTGGGCAGGGGGTGCCACGGCATGATAACGTGGCCAGCACAGGGCTTCCAGGGGGAGGGCAGCAAGGTGGGAAGCCCCAAGCCCACAGTGAGCAATCCACATTTGCCCTACTCCCCACCACGGGCTCCACTCAGCTATGCTCCAGCCATGCCACATGGGAAGGGCATCATCTTAAGACCTTCATAAAAATAAAAGTTGGTGCCTATGACCCTCACTGTTAAAAGTTTATACTTAATTACTAGCCTGATTTTTTCTTGCTTCTAGTCACTGGGTCTCATTATCTCTATGTTCTCAATTACAAGTCACAGGCAGTCACCCCTCATAACTTTCAATGGTAGGAACCACCTATGGACAAACTCTCCCCATTCCACCAGGATAGACAGGGCAGAGTTCTGGAAAACCCTGATATCTTGAATCATGCCCAGCCAGCCAGCACTGATGTGTGCAAATTGCCTGATGTAGTCTACACAGGGCATAGGGTGGCGATGTGGGTGCCATCTTAGAAATACCATAAGGGCCAAACCAGCCTTAACCTCCTGCCAATCAGCAAGGGAGGTGGGGGCATCTGGGGTGGCAGCACTGGATTTGTCAGCAAACATACCTCATGCACTGCCAATCCCACCACAAACTTGCCAACACCAAACTGACTGGTCACAAACTAGAGCCTGTTGGGAGTTGCAAGTTTCCATACAGCAATGGTCACATGCTTCTCCACAGTCAGGGGCTCCCTCATTCCAGTGGTTTGCTGCTCCAGGCTGTGGGACAACTTAACACAGATCTCCAGGCCTGCTGCTTCAGCTGGAGGTAGCCCAAGCCATGCAGAAATTCATCCACCAATGTTCATCATTCCAGGTGGCCAGGCAAATGCACTTCCCCCAGAACGTTGCTGCTCATCTCTCTGGACCAGAAATACCATTACACAGTTTGGAGTTGCTTCCAAAGCAGCCCAGACACAATGGTGTGTCATACGGCCTCAGGCTCATCTGATGGTGTCGCCAGAGAAGAAAAAAGTAAAGGAGGTTAAGACACCTTCCCATGTCCCTGGCCATGTGGTCTTCCACATTCCCAAACATGCCAGCTCATACAGAGTGCAGATGGTTGAAGCCATGTTTGAGCCTGCTTTGTGCTCTGACCAGTGCAGCAAGATCAGGAGCTCCCAGTGCTGGGCAACCGGGGGCCCGCAGCAAATGGGTTAGAGGGGGCCAGCATTCTCAGGGTTAGAGGCACAACTGAAAAGCTGCCCAGAGCAGAAAACCAGCACAAGGGCAGCTCCCAGCACAAGGGCAGGGGTGGGGTCCCTGGGGGGCTAGCCAGTTGGTGCTTTCTTCCAAGTTCAGGCATCCTTGGGACTCTCTGGGGACCAGGCCAAGGCAAAACATGCTGGGATGTGTGCTCTCACCAACCACCTAGTGGTGAAGCAGTAGCACTCCATGCCACTACGCAATGAATAGCATGTGAAATCAACAAGTCTGTCTGCATCTGAAGCCATACATTTTGGATCCAGTAAAAACTTCACAACAATCTGTCCTACTAAAACTGTTTTCTGTCTGCACCCTTAAATTAAACAGCTCTCTGCTATCAGAAGTCATCTCCCTTTTTGGGGTTATAAAGAGGGGGAGCGCACTGCCGGGTTGGTCAGGATACTCACAGATTCCGTAGCCTGGTCCAACCGGTTGGTCAGAAGTCCCGAGCTGGCATCCGGTACAGAAGTGGAGCAGCATGATGTGCCAAGCAGGCTCCGCTGCTGCTGGGCGGGAGCAAGGACGTGCCCCGTGTGGGCGAGGTGGTGTCTGCTCCAGTTTGCCCGCAGTGGCGGTGCCTGTCTGGCCACCTGCCTGGTGCACCATGCCACTGTGCCTCCCTGCCAGACTCCAGCCCAGGGCTTCTGACCAACCAGCCAGGACCGGGCTATGGAATCCATGAGTGTCCTAGCCAAATCCGGACGTGTGGTCCCCTTCATTGTAAATCACGATCAAGTCATTTCATAACTTTCTCTGGGATAAACTAAATAAGTTAAGCGTCTTCAGCCCCTCACTGAAGCAGGTGTTCAGGACTTGTATCATTCCATTATCAGTCTTTTCTAAGCCCATTCCATGACTTCTAATGAGAACATCTTAGAGAAATCATTTATTATCTGATGGGGGGGGGTTCTTATTTTTATTGTACTTAAAATAGATTTTACTTTGCCTTTATTTACATATCCTCAGGACTGTGAGCAAACTACATAAAAATAATTTTAATTACAAAATATTATGTATAATATATTGAGCATCATTCACTTGGCTTGAACCAACAGAAGGGAATTGCTCAGTGCACATCACAGAAAAGTCCAAGAGGAGCTGAGAGCAGCTGCCATTATGTCAGATTTAGCCTAAAGTGTGGTGACCTCTCGGATCAAAGCCAGCTGCAAAATTATCTCAACAGTTAGAAAGTGAAAACATAATCTCTAAAACATGATGCCGTTAGTGTGTTCTCAAATCAGCAAAATATGAGTACATTCCTTCTACTGAGATGACTAAAAGAATGGAAGAATTTAGCAATTCTTTGCTAACTTCTATGCAGACTGCCTGCTCTTTTGCTTTTCTTTTTATTCTTATGACTTCCCCGCTCTAATTTGTCTCCCCGTTTTTCAAACAGACTCATGACCCATTCCAATAGCATCAAGCGGGTGGTTTTAGTTTGTGTCTGGTGTTGCTGTGTCTTGCCCTCCCATCCTCCCGGCGCCGCTCCGCTGGCCACCGGCTGCCCGGGCGGGGCGGGGGG